TTGCGTTGCGGGCTCATTACTAATACATATATTAGGACCAGATAATCTTAAATTGTTTCCGATACAAAATACAGTTACTCTTTCTTCTAGTGCAAATAAGACTCTCCCCTTTCTCACGCTTCCTTTTCTGCCTATACATATATAACAGACAGAAGAGAAGAATATGACTGCTTCATCTTATATCTAGAAGGTTTATCCTGTAGCACGTACAAACTATGCTATCGATCAAAATAGTATTTTGGAATTCCTGCTGGTCAATGAACCGCACTGACATTCTATCGTCTTTGAATTCTTTGTTATTTTACTTGGTGTAATTCTAGCTTTCTCTCATTAGAAGTAATACTCGAAACAGGCACTCTTTATGTGATTTAATTTACTTTGTCAGAATATTGGGTAAGCTCGTACTGGATATTATCTTTCTTAACCATAAGCTGAATGAAGATTTTGACGAAAAAACAAAAGTTGTTCATTTGTTAAATGACAGTTTAATAAACAGATGGAATTTTGTTCAGCTTGGGGAATGTTTCAAAATATATTCTGGTCGGTCGGTCTCTCTTCGTCTATTCCCCAATTATTCCTCTGTTATAGAACATTTCGTTGTATACTAGTTTTGCTATATATAGTTTATATATGTGACAGTAGAAATTGGAATTGAATTCCAATTTCCACTAGTGGAATTTCCCTGAATTCTAATTTCCACTGACACATATACATCGAACTTGATTTTCTTTTCTAATTGTTTTTTATACTATGCATGTTACACACTGAGTGTGTAACATGCATAGTAAATAAATAATAATGTAAAACTGTGCACACGCTTTATTCATTAATTACTGCTATATTATAGTTTCGGTGTTTATTATCTCTATAAACTAACAAACGAAAATGAATCATGATACACAAAATGGGAAAAATGGTATTGTAACGTTAGATCACAAGGAATATTTAGGTCAATCGTAAGTTATCGAACTTTTTATTTGAAATAAATTTTAAAGCATTCCAAGCGCATCATTATGAGAGAGCTGAAAAACCTATTCCACTTGCGCCAGACGAATGGAGTTGAAACCGTGGAAAATCAATAATGAGCCGTACTTGGGAAAAGTTTTGTGTTTACACATTCTGTGGTCTGGGAGATAACTTACGAGGGAGCATCCTCCAATGATAAATTGCTTTTAGCGCGAAATCTGGTGGGTTATATGCTATCAACCATGCTGCCATGGGTTTCCCCATAGTCCTTCGAAGACCCGGTTTTCGGAAAATCAATTTTTTAGAAATTCTAAACGATAACCAAAACCTTTCTTAATAAGGCATAATTGTAGACCGCACATTTCTGATGCCACATCCCCCAGCTCGACTCAGCCTTTCTTTGCAAAGGTATAGAATTTACAAGAAAAGCCCTAAATTAATTTTTTCCTTCTTATTTCTGTAGCTTCGAGCTGACAATGAACATTTAAGGCTTTCTTGTAAAGTCTATCACTTTGCAAAGGAAGGTCGTGTAGAGCTAGGAAATGTCGCATTTTAATCAGAAATATACCTCATTAAGAAAGGTTTTTGTCATTTTTTAGAGTTTCTGATAGATTGGTTTTTAAGAAAACCGGGTATTCGAAGGATATGGGAAACCCCCATGACCATATTCGGAATTAGCATAGTCGATAACCTATAACCCACCAGATTTTGATCAAAAAACGATTTATCAGTTGAGGATGTTCCCTTATTAGTTAGATCTTAGCGCCGAAGGCATTTTAACCCATAACGCATAGAACTTAACGCCACTATACTTTGTAAATTGTTTTATAAACAGAAGCTATTATAAAACCAGTATTCTGGTATAGACATTAATAAATCACCGTTACATATACTTTTATCCATCTGTTTGGCACTAGTGGAATCGATGTTTTCAGTTTTCTCAGAATGTCATGTGCTTTTAGAACTGAGATCGAGCCAAAGAAAGCAAGCAGATTACCGTGGAAAAATAAAACTTACGATGTAAATGTAATTGAAGAAAAGAAAAAAACAGAATCAGTTAGTTTTAAAGAACTTGTAAGTTTAGATTAAAAAACTGAACTTACAATAATAAAGAATTTCTTATTTATTTTGACCTTAAGTTTCGTTTTGCTAAAAAAACCGATGTGTTTTATATGATATTGGCGACTTGTGCTGCTATTTGTCATGGAGCCGCATTACCCTTGTTATTACTTATTTTTGGAAATCTTGTTGATACATTTACAGATCGTTCATTCAATTTATGTACACTTAATTTGACGGCACTTTCATTAACTTATTGTCCATCAGGAATAATACTGACCTCAACTAATTTTTTATCACTTTACAAGTAAAGTAAATTTATTATCATAGTATATAATATTCTACATTGATTAGTGAGAAATCTTATCTATATCTGTAGTTTAGACTATGCAATTTTACTGGTTCCAATTTTACTGTACCAACATTCGATCTTACTGGTAAAGTTCGACAACAGGCATTAATTTTAGTGGGTAAGTTAGTCAACGTTTTCTTCCATTTAGAATTTATAGTAGCTAATTTTATTTGTTTCTATTTAGGAATCGGTTGTGGAGCAATCATATTTGCTTATATTCAAATAGCATTCTGGTGTGTTTCAGCAGAACGACAAACACGTGCAATAAGAGAAGCAGCTTTTCGTGCAATTATGAATAAAGAAATACTTTATTTTGACACTCATAAAACAGGTAATTAGTACAAATTAAATGGAATCTAACCTTAGTAAAAACTTCTTATAACCAAGATTTTGATGATAATGATCATTTTATTTTAAGTCTTTGATGCATATAAATGAGAACATTTTCATACCTGGAATAACTTTAAATTTCTTTACTGGATAGAACTAATCAAGAATGAGCTTATCCTTGTATATAATGATCTTATGTTGAACGATTGTAGTTATCATACATAAAAAGAAAATGTAAAGGACATTTTTGACTCAAAATCCTGAATATAAGAAGCTTTTTTAATTTCAAAGATGTTTAATGTTTTCATCAATTAATTTTTAGGAGAACTGAATACAAGACTGACAGAGTAAGTAACTATTTTAAGTCTATTTCTGTAAGTTTAAACAGACTGCAATCCTTTTTCGATATTTACGAAGACAGCAACGCGATAAATATTTCCCTATCAACTAAAAACTCTATGCTCTTCCACTCAATTTATTGTCTAACGTTTAATCGATACAAATTCTCATAAAAAAGTGGAAACAGTGCATCTTCAGTGTACTTTCTAAAATAACACGAGTAAAACCCCATAAAAGGAATTGAGACACTTTTCTCCAGAAGAAAAAGTGACTGAACCCATAAGCCCGAACCATTCATGACATGGGGAATTTTCTTCGTCTGATGGAATTCCTTCTGAAGATTCTGTCGTCCAAAACGTTGAGTGACAAATCTTCATGAGTTTCCCACGAGGTCTTTTAAACTTTTTAAAAAACATTTTTTGAAGCAGCTTTTTCATTAAACTATTTGAACAACAGAACCTTCTACAGGGTTCGATCATATGGACAGAATCCCAAGAAAGTTCTGTCACGAAACGTTATGACTTACAGAACCCAATGGCAGAACTTCTTATGAATTCAGTCTTACTCCAGGTTTTTAATAGATGGGCTACTTTAAACCCACTTTCTGGTAATGAAAAGGCTTCGAAAATCTGCCATCAAATCAGTGCTTCTTATATACTATGTGTCTCGAGGAAACGAAAACATAACTGTGCCTTAAGTAGTTTCAACAGGTATCACGGCAAAAATCTACTGGCTCCTATCAAAACGGAAATGTGCCCCAGGGCATCCGGACTCTTGGAAAAGTACTGTAAAAGTTTTTATTCTTTCACAACTGCTGCGTGGTTTTTAGCCGGAAAGTTGACTAGGGTCTGCAGTTTTATTCCGTCTGTTTTTAAGACCGAATATCTCGCACTCAGTAGAAAATAGTTAATCACGTTGAAATTTAACCTGTTTTCTAGCAGAATGAGTTCTTTTTTTTAACATAGGCTTTCAGTCATTTGTGTATTTTTTAGAGATATCAATAAAATCCATGACGGCATTGGTGACAAAATAGGTTCGGCCTGTCAATTTTTCTCGGCATTCGTGACTGGTCTTATTTTGGGTACGTAGCACTGTTCAGTGTTAAATCTAATCTTTCCAATTCTGAACTTTGACTCTTAAAAACTTCAGGCTTTATAAAGGGTTGGAAACTCACTTTAGTGGTCTTGTCGGTGTCACCACTACTGTTTTTCGCAGCACTAATATTTTCCAAAGTAAGTATTGGTGTGTTTTTAAGTTCACTGATTATGATAAAAGTTTAGCGCTTTTACGATCCTGTGTACATTAAAGATCGGAAAGTTTAATCATGAAACCATCACGCTAGACTACAAATTGCCCGAAGCGAAGCTTGTCTATACTTACTCCTATTAGTATGGAGATTAATATTTCTTTCTTTAGCTAACATCTAGTATGACTGCACATGAATTAAAAGCCTATGGAAAAGCGGGTGCAGTGGCTGAAGAAGTGTTTAGTTCTATTCGAACTGTTTTCAGTTATAACGGTGTTGAACATGAACAAACTAGGTTTGATAGATATCTTGACATTTTGAATAAAGACTATGGACACAGTAATATTTATTTTTTACTTTCAGGTATGAACGACATTTAGATGCAGCGCGAGATTTTGGTATAAAAAAAGGAGCTTTCAATGGTGTAACCTTGGGATTCGTGTGGTTTGTCATATTCTGTGCGTACGCATTAGGTATGTCTATAGTTATCTATAGTTTACTAAATATTAAAATATAATGAGACGGCAATATTGAAGGTTTTTGGTATGGAGCAAAATTAGTTCGAGATGAAGGTTTTAATATTGGTTCTGTATTAATAGTAAGTGTATGGCAAGTTCAATACTTTTTGTTAAGGGAAATATCATCACTATATGTTGAAGATGATTTGAACAAGTACTACTCAGTGGTCAATAAAATTGATCATACATCCCGCATATTAACTTATGATTGCAGTTAACTGCAAAGCTAAGTTCACATGTCAGAATTCCTAGTCGTACAAAATTTATTTTGTGTTCTTCGATAGTTATAGTTTAGAATACTATAATGGAATATATTCCGCTTGTATTCTGGCAGAATAAAACTCATACCAACTTATGATTGATATTTCTCCGAAATGAAATCACCTGTAAAGTTCGGAGTTTTCTCCAAAATGTTGCAAAATTATTGTAGTTTATCTGTCTAAAATAGAAAGTGTGCGTGTCATATCGTCATTGTCCTCGGTCAGAAACAGTGAGACAGGTGACTTTCGCTGTGTAACAAAGTTGATCATACCGTTGGATTTTTTTCATTTTTCACACAGCAGACTTTAGTCTTAATTTGATAAAATGAGCGGATTTTGTGCAGTTTTTTTCACTCTTTCGACTCATACGTACTGCAGAATTTAAAACGAAAGAGGAAACGATATACAAAACAATCATTTTTTTTCTAGTTTTTCGATAGGTTTTTGTAATACTTTGGATAAAAATCCGTATTTTCATGAAGAAATGTTTTCAAGGTTTAAAAACGTAAGCAGTGTGGAGAATCGAATGAGCACGATTTGGAAAACAAAAATATCTTTTCTCATGAAAATACGAATTTTTATCCAAAGTATTACAAAAACCTATCGAAAAAATAGAAAAAAAATGATTGTTTTGTATGTCGTTTCCTCTTTCGTTTTAAATTCTGCAGTACATATGAGTCGAAAGAGTGAGAAAAACTGCACAAAATACACATTGTGTCAAATTAAGACTAAAGTCTGCTGTGTGAAAAATGAAAAAAATCCAACTGTATGATCAACTTTGTTAAACAGCGAAAGTCACCTGTCTCACTGTTTCTGACCTAGCACAATGACGATACGACACGCACACTTTTCATTTTAGACAAATAAACTACAATAATTATGCAACATTTTAGAGAAAACTCCAAACTTTACAGGTGATTTCATTTCGGAGAAATATCAATCATAAGTTGGTATGAGCTTTATTCTGCCAGAATACAAGCGGATATCAATTTTGTACGACTAGAAATTCTGATATGTGAAATTAGCTTTGTAGTTAACTGCAATCATAAGTTAATACGTGGGATGTATGATCAATTTTGTTGATCGTTAACTGTTCAAACAGACATTTCTTTTTGAATCTTTTATATATCAAGTTATATATTAATATATTTAGGTATTTTTTGCAATACTTATCGCCGTATTTAGTCTTGGTCAAGGTGCACCACACCTTCAGTCCCTAGCGCAAGCAAGAGGTGCAGCTTATTATGTTTGGGATTTAATTGACTCGGTAAGTTCGTTGTATGATTTGTTTTAAAACATAAAAACATTGAAAATGAAATGTTAATACGTACAGGAGAATCTCGCCAAACGATTCATCGCTTTTGCTCTCTAAACACAATTTATCATTAGCAATCTTTTAATCCGATATCCTATTAATTTTCATTTTGAATAAATCTACAAAGACCGCTAGAATACCATGAAGAAGTTTTTAGATTGGACATGTGGGTTAGATTTTTGAATTATCGAAAATTACTTGTAATAAAATATGTCTCCAATGAAAAACAATAAATCACTTTGCGAGATTTCCTTATCAGAAAAGCTGCTTACTTTTATGCAGGAACATTAACTTTGATATCTACGAACGGAGTCCAGCAAAAATTCTTAGGTCATCTGATGGATTGAAACTCCCAAAATTCTTGTAGTTTGAACGTGTGAACGAAAAATATACATCGTTTACATAAAATTTGGCATTTTTAAACAGAAAAAAAGCGTTACTTTCATCGTATGTCTTTTGAGAACATTCATCTGGTTTAGGTAACAGTTTAAATTGGCTCACCTAAACGGAAGCGAAACGTGCGAGACTCTTCATACAAATATTTATAGAAAACTTATTTCATTTCTCATTTTTCCTATTTCGTACTTTAGCCATCGAAAATCATAAGTAATTCTGTTAGTGGTCTTAAAACTCCAGATCTAGTCGGGATTATCGAGTTTTCAGAAGTTAATTTTGTTTATCCTACAAGACCAAATACTTCCATTTTAAATGGTTTATCATTTGATGCAAAAAGTGGACAAACAGTTGCACTAGTTGGAAGTTCTGGTTGTGGAAAAAGCACTTGCATTCAATTATTACAACGATTTTATGATCCAATTTCGGGTTCTGTTTCAATTGATGGTCATTCTGTTAGTGAATATAATCTTCATTGGCTAAGGCAGCACATTGGAGTTGTCAGTCAAGAACCAATTTTATTTGCTGCAACGATTAAAGAAAATATTAAATATGGAAAAGATAATGTAACGGATAGTGATATTGAAGATGCGGCAAAAAAAGCAAACGCACACGATTTTATCATGACATTACCAGATGTAAGCATATACATAGTACTAGAAAAAATTGTAGAGCCACTGTATTTTTGAAATTTTTCAATGAATTCAAGCGGCTAGGCCAAATCTGAATAGTAATTTGAATAGCCCTTGAAGTTCTCTATCAAATGTAGTATATGTCGAAATTCTAGACAAAAAGGTTTTGACAAAAGTTTTCTAGAAAACCCTTCTAGTAATGCTCTAAGCCCTATTAAATTTTGCTAAAAATATTTTCAATATAGTCATCTAAAAGAGCATAAAATTCTGAAAAAAATGAACCGTCGCACAACTCTCCTCTGGAGGGGATTTCCTAGAAAACTTCCTTCAAAACCTTTTTTTGTGTAATTTTGACGCATATTACATTTGACAGAGAACTTCAAGGGCTATTCAAATCACTATTCAGATTTGACCTAGCCACTCGGATTCTTCGAAAAATTTCAAAAATACAGTGGTTCTACAATTTTTTCCAGCATTGTATTATATCTTTGTGGTAAAAGTGTCATCCTCATTTTTTCTTTTGTCAAGCGATATGAAACAATGGTTGGAGAAAGAGGTGCTCAATTATCTGGTGGACAGAAACAAAGAATTGCGATAGCACGAGCATTAATAAGAAATCCAAAAATTCTATTACTCGATGAAGCAACAAGCGCTTTGGATAACGAAAGTGAAAAAATTGTTCAAGATGCTTTAGATAAAGCATCGAAAGGTAGATACATTTAAGTGTTTTTAAAATATTATATTTTACATTTTTATTTATCTTATTTTTAAATTAGGACGAACTACCCTTGTAATTGCACATCGTTTATCGACCATTCGTAATGCAAATAAAATTGTTGTGATTCACGAAGGTACCACTGTTGAAGAAGGTGATCATGAAACATTGATGAATAAACGTGGAAATTATTATGCGCTTGTTCAAGCACAAAATTTACAAATAGCTGAAGAAAATGAGGAAGACGAAGATGAAGATATTTATCCTGATGAAAGTAAAATTAATTGATTAGGTAGAATTAATTTGATAAAAGTTGATTGCTTTTTTCTCACAGTAAATGTTCGTCAACAACGACGTTCAACGGTGGCAAGTTTAAGTCCGTCAATGTTGGCAACTATACATGAAGCAAAAATAGCTGATAATGATGGTGAAAAGGTACAAAAAGATGTCTATAAAAATATATGACCATTCAATATTATATTTTACAGAATGTGAAAAAGCCTTCACCATCTTGGACTATGTTAAAAATGAATAGTCCGGAATGGTTGTATATTGTGTTCGGATGTATAGCTTGTATTTGTAATGGAGGTATTCAACCGGCTTATGGTAGGCATATTATAAATCTTTTTTAAATGCAACAAATATATTGTCAGCTTTATTTAGGTGTTATTCTCAGTAAACTAATAGCGGTACGTTTAGACTGTTTTGATATTATTCACATGTTAAATTGTTTATTATATTTACTGATCAGGTATTTCAAGAGTGTGATCGAGACGTACAAGAACACAATGTTCTTGTTTATATTCTATTATTTATTGGATTTGGTGTTCTTATGTTAATAAGCATGTTTTTACAAAGTTATTTATTTGCATGCAGTGGAGAAAAATTAACGAAACGTTTACGAGCAAAAGTATTTCGAGTTATGTTGAGACAAGATATGGCTTATTTTGACGATCCCAAAAATAATACGGGTGCATTATGTACACGTTTAGCCGTAGAAGCATCAGCTGTTCAAGGTGCAACGGGTATTCGAATTGGCATTATGCTTCAAAATTTTGCTAGTCTTGGTGTAGGTATTATACTTGGTTTCGTTTATGGTTGGGCGCTAACACTAATGCTTCTCGGATTTATTCCACTCATCGTTATTGGTGGATTTTTACAATCAAAACTAGTTAGTGGATTTGCAAGCAAAGACAAAAGAGCTCTGGAAGATGCTGGAAAGGTATTGACCTAAAACTATCATTTATTTTTAAATCTTGCTTTTTCTCATGTAGGTGGCTGTAGAAGCGATTCAAAATATTCGTACGGTAGCACAATTAACAAAAGAAGAGCGTTTTGGTAATGAATATGCCCATTTAGTAGAAATTCCATACAGGTAAATAGAACTTATTACCACAGAAATTTTCCCATACTTATAATCATTATTTTAATGTTTCTAGATCATCATTGAAACGAGCATATGTATTTGCTCTTTTTTTTGCATTGACCAATTCTATTATGTACTTCGCCTTAGCAGCGTTATTCTCGCTCGGTGCATATTTGGTCGATCAAAACCAAATACAATTCGAAAATGTTCTGCTGTAAGAAAATGAGCTCAACTTTCTTTGTAGAGTCGTTATGAATTACTCATATGATATCGTATATCGCCATAACGATATACGATATCGTAAAATCGTCTCCTTAAAATCGTATATATCTTTAAATGATATGAATGCAGTATAATTGCTGTGGCTTTTATCAGCCAATACGATGTCTCGATTCGAATTTGTATGAAAAAGCATAATTTATGACTAGAAATTGAGATCAGAAGTATAGTATCTAAAACATATTTTGTTGATTGTGTCTGCTTTTAGTGTTTTCAACTGTGTCGTCTTTGGTGCACAATCTGTTGGTCAAACAGCATCACTGTGAGTATTATATACTAAAACTGTTGAGATAATACACTCTTTTTCTTCTTTAGAGTACCAGATTATAGTAAAGCAACCGAATCAGCTTCAAATATTCTTGATTTATTTGCAAGAAAACCGAATATTGATAACGGTTCAACAGATGGAGAACAAATAGTAACTACTTATTTTATATCCATAAACTCTTTTGGATAAACGTATATTTATTTTTAACTAGGCCAACTTTAATGGTGGAATTGAATTTGATGGTGTGTATTTTGTGTATCCAAATAGACCTGAGGCAATCGTTCTAAGAAATTTGAAACTAAAAATTATGCCAGGTAGGTTAGATTTCTACTTGAGTTCTAAGAGTTGTTAAATAATTCGTCCATTGTTTTGTCTAACAGGTCAAAAAATTGCGTTAGTAGGTATGAAATGTTGTGAAAATTTCTTTTTATCTTTTTACTATTTATTGTATTTTATCAAAAATATAGGCGGTAGTGGATGCGGAAAATCGACCACGGTACAGTTGCTGGAACGCTTTTATGATGTTGTTGCAGGTCGATTGGTGAGTGAAAAAGACTATATTTACCTCTCACACTCATAGAACATTTTTCTATATTTTTTGAAGTTACTAGATTCGAAAGATGTTCGAAGCCTTAATTTACAATGGTACCGTTCTCAAATTGGTATTGTATCGCAAGAACCTATTTTATTCGATGTGTCTATTAAAGAAAATATCGCTTATGGTGATAATTCAAGAGAAGTACCAATGAGTGAAATTATAGAAGCATCAAAAAACGCTAATATTCATAGTTTTATTGAAAAATTACCTATGGTACGCAAATCGAATTGTTACATTCCAGTGCTCTTGATTAGTAGTAGATATTAGTAAGATATTTCTCTTTCTGTTTAGGGTTACGATACGAATTGTGGAAGTAAAGGAACACAATTGTCAGGTGGACAGAAACAAAGAATTGCGATAGCACGAGCATTAGTAAGAAATCCAAAAATTCTGTTACTTGATGAGGCAACAAGCGCCTTGGATCAAGAAAGTGAAAACGTTGTACAGGAAGCTTTAGATCGAGCACAACAAAATCGTACATCAATTACAATTGCTCATAGACTTTCAACAATTCAAAATGCAGATTTAATTTGTGTAATACGACATGGACGGGTTGTTGAGAGCGGACGACATTCTGAATTATTGGCAAAACAAGGCTATTACTTTAAACTAGCTCAAAAAAAGCTAAAGTGATACAAGTAAAACTGCTGAATAATATTTTTATTTAGTTTGTTATTCTTTTATTTTTTAAAACTCATACGTGTTGTGCACATGCTTGCTTCTGTTTCTGAAAACTAGAAAGCGAAAATTCAATCGACTCTCAGCTTCGAGTCAGAAGTGCGAACTCCGGACAGAATGGTAGGGCGGTTGGTAATTTTAGTTTATTTTCTCTTACTCGATGAACCACTGCTTTCTGAATAAACTCGATCATTCTCATTTCTTTTTATCAATTATAGTATTTTGATTGATAAGAATTTACTACTCTCGAGATATCTTTCTAGCAGTAAAACCATTATCTTAGACTCTACCTTCTGTGCAAGACTTCTAGCAGACAAACCAGATGTCGCTCTTAGATAACTTTCCGTTCAGTAGAATGTAATACTAAAAATTGGTTTCAATAGAGGGCGCTACTTACGTTGAGTCTTATTTTCCAGAAGAAACTCATTTTAACAGGAAGTCATACTATAGAAATCAATGGAATGAGATAATCAGTGAAGTAAATAGTCGACAAACAGATAGTCGACAGTTATCACCAAAAAAGAGCAAATCCTCTTCTTTCGATTATACTCAGCGTCTTCTTGGATTAAATTCATTAACACTAGATGTATAAAGCTCTCTTTAAGCTCGCAATACATAATAAACAGCCCCGTCATTACTGGATAGGTGCAACTATGTTTATTACATATACGTGTTATATCAGCACAGTATACTGATATAGACACTTGTGTGTAATATGAAGAGAGTTGTACGAGGTTTATGAAGAGTTGAACTTGTTCGTGTGCTGATTGTCAATTAAGGTTCTAATTTAATTTTTCTTTTAATTTTAATGGACAAAAGTCCGTTCAAAAACAACAGTATTCATCTTTTCTATCGGAAACGGTGAAAATACACTTTTTTTTATCCGGTTTTTACATATATGATAGAGCTCACGGTTCTGAACAATTGTACCGTTTAGCATGGTATCAAAATCGGTTTCTAAAAGACAGCGGAAGCTGTTTTCTGTCTATTCCATGTCATCTGCACGGACTGTCTAGAATTATCCTATGCAAAATAACTGAATGTCCAGAATTATTCCAAACAAGAAAAATGTTCTTTTATTTTCGCAAATTCTAATTAATTAATCAGGGATATGTTTAAAGGACCAGCAATTTACAAGGTGGATAAAGCTCAAAATTCTCTACAAGATGGTATAGTTTTTAATTAGAAAGGAAAACTTTGCCGTCGAAAAAACTCTGTTTTACTTTCTGTCAGTCAGTTTTGCTGGATTGTCCGAAATTACCCCATCCAGACACACTGACTGTCGATAATTACCCCAATTATGGACATTAGATACGAGCTCTCTGGAAATTAGTGAGTACTAATTAATCTTATTGAACTTTAACATAATTTTTGCATTAATAGATAGAGAAGTGTCCGGTCTATCCACCTTCGAAATGCCGATGTTTCCCAAGTAAAAATGCTTCCAGTACGCTCAAAATACTGTAAAAATTAGAGAGGCTGCCCAAAATTACCTCAACTTACTCTATGTTTTGTTTGAATACATTTGGTTTTTTTATTTGATTTTCGCACGAACGAAGGAGAATTAAGTGACCTAGCAATAAGTACTCACCGTACCGCTGTTTAGCCAAATGGCGAGGACTAACAAATTAATATTAGACAGTATAATCATGATTTTACACTAAGAGATTTTTCAAAATTCAAGAAGTTCACCATTTTCTGAATATCACATGGGCTGAATTTCAAGAAGTTTAGAGTTTCCGAACTTCAAGAATTTCAGAAATTTTAACAGATTTTGACGTTACCAACGCATAGATATTATTTTGGAGTTCATACGGTAAGACAATCTCGACTTTACCTCTCATACTGGCAGAGAAAATTAAAATTTACTTTCGCATCTACCTCTTAAAAACAGTTCTCTAGAACGAGCGGCATCTATTAGAAAATGCTTGTATCTTTTGAATGAAACAACCAGAATGTATGGTGTTTCCTTTCACAAAATGACCCGCTTAGCTTTTACAATTTAATTTTAACATGGTTGAAAACTGTTCATGCAATTATACAAAAATGAATATGAGAATATCAAGTGTCCGAAACCGATTTTTATGAAAAAATACGAAATATTTAAAATTAAAGAAAATTCTATGAAATTTTTGAAAATAGACTTTTTAGCTTCCAAAACTATTTTATTCTGATTTGCCATGTAACCTGTGTTTAGAAAAAACACAATTTGATCTAACTCAATTAGAGTTTGTGACTAATAAGTTATTCTAATTTATCGTCAAAGACTGAGTCGAATAAATTATTCAATATTTTTTCAACTTTTTACTGAAATTTTTCTATTTTATTGATCTTTTTTTTGTTCTGTCGCAAAATTTTTAAGTGAAACTTTCTCAGCGGTATGCTTTATTATTTTTTTGAAGATTTAATTGCCCTAGAACGGAAAGCTTCCAGCAGAAGTATCCGAAAACAATATAACATATATTTTTATCTTATTTTGAATTAATTTAATTTCGTCAGTATATCTTTATCGTGATGTATTTGAATACATTTAATGTTCATCTCCGGTTTGCTTGCTCCCTTAACTGGAGGCGATAAAGTATACCATCACAAGAAACAGAGTAACAAGATACTATTGCAAAAAAAGAACCCACACTCGAAAGCGCTAAAGGCAAACGATCCTCTGCGATTTAAAAAACATTACTCGTCTCGTCTTCTGTAATGACTGTCTCTGATTCACAGTACCGAAGGCGAGATCAATCGATTCTAAAAGTCTGAAGTCCAAACATCCTCAAGAACACGGAATTATTAACATTGGTATTTTCAAGTCAACAGTGGTCAGAAATGATGTTTTCTACTGTTCTAAGTTGTTTCCAAATGATTTTAATGAAAACTTACTATTCCCGATCAATTTTTCGGTAAAAGCAATACCTATCAAAGCTTTCAGATGTTGCGAGAACGGTCTCAATGGGTTCTCCGTGTGAAGTTACCTACAGTACCGCAGTTTTATGTTTTCACATAATTCCACTGAAAAGTTATTTTAATTTATCGTTTCCCAGTGGACAGAAATACAGACAATTTATTTCTCTACGCACTTTCCGTACAATCATTAGACTTTTTCTCCTGTTTTCATATTGTTGTGGTTTGATGTCTATACAAATAGATCTCTTTCTTTGTTTTTTCATTCCGTTTTCTTTGCCTTTTCTGGTGGTAGTAGACGTAGGTAGATGAGAATGATATTTGGGATTATAAAACAAACATGTAATTCTAACTGTTGACGATATTAGAGAGAGTGACATAAGAGGAAAGGAAACAACCCACATACTTGTAAAAAAGTATTAAGAAACGTTAACAGATGATCAATAATCGGATACTAAAATAGTACAGAAGAGGAAAAAGAACACGTTACGGTTTATACGTATGTACTTTATTCTAATTATACGAAGAGATAGGGTGGGTGCGTATATTGTTTGCATCTTTGAACTTATTTTAGAAAAATGTTAAGGCGAGCACGTAGTCTTAGTAATCATCGTGATTTAACGCCATCAATTTATGATTATGACAATGATGATGATATTTATACAAGACGAGCACTTTCAGTGAGTCGTTTCGATGACTCATCTATTGCTCGTTTTAATAAACCCGGTAATAATGCGTATGATCGTTGGAAACGATCCCAATCTGTTGGTAGATTTGATCATTTAATAGCAGAACGACACAAACAATATCCTCTTTATAGTACATATGATTCGAATTTGGATTATTATCCTCGGCGTTATTATACAGAACGTACACCCTATTATTTCGATTATTCATATTATAGATATTATCGACCTTATTATTGGTATTATACACCCCGTTTATTTTATTATTATCCCAATTATCCGTATACTTATTGGCCTTATAGTACAACGAGTTTATATAGAAGATACTTTTATGAACGGATGATGAATTTATACAGAGATCTTAATTATCTTTATGATTATTAGATTACGTTTCCTTGTTTTATATGTAATGATAAATTTTGATTTAGGACGTTGCTTTTTTTGTAGTTGTAGATTACTCATAAGCAGAGACATACATTATTTAAATATTGTAGACAGTTTACCATATACTATTCGTCAGAGATGCAACCAGGACTTCTGAGCCAACTCCGAGAGAGCTGCGAAAAATCGTGAGGTATAGATGGGTCGAATGGCTTTTCATTGGGTTTCAAATCTTTTTATTCGATGCCAGTTTTTCATTTTGGATTATTCCCGGTTTCTTTTTTTAAAAAACACCTGATGCCGTAGCAGAAGATTTTTTGGGTGAAAAAATAAAATAAAATGTTTCAGTACTCGAGTTTTGTGACATATTCGCCCAAATTCAAACAGAACTCAAAAAGCAAACATTTGGGACGATTTCTTGATCTCGAAAATTTTTCTACGTGGATGTACGCAATCATTGTTCGTTATGATGCAATAACACTTTTATCTGATGGCTTAGGAGCTGTTAGAACACACACTGTGTCTGCTAACGTCACCGTCAGCTTTCGCATGCTAGTAAATAGATTTTATTCAGTTTTTTGTGGTCTTTCTAATACAATGTCGCTTAAGAAAATTGGTTAACGGGTTCATGAGCTGCAATCACACAATCGCATGTCTTACATATTTACTCACTTTCAGGCAAATGATAGCGTGACTCCTCGTCAATCTAAGACTTTCTTATATGCGATGTAGAAAAAAACGTTAAGTTATATGCTTTTGCTTGAATCATAATAGTGTAATTTCGGGACTTATGACTGTTTTAACTTTTGACGCATTAAAGCAAAATTCCTAATAAGCCATACTCTCAGGTAAGTAACATTTGTTCATCTAAGTTTACTGCATTATCTGGAAAATTCCGCTTAAAACAACTGAATATCAAAGAGAAATTGTATTGATTGTAAGAAAAATACTCGGATGGTGGTACACGAGCAAGAGAAAGAAAACTTTTTCTTGAACAGTGGAATGTATCTAACCCTAGTAAAAATCTTAGACACTTTTTAAAATTATCTTACCAAGATCTTATAAGATCTTATCCTTTAAGATCTTAAGAAGATTTAATGACTCTGCTTCCATTCACCCCTTTGTTTTGCTCTCATTTATCTATATAGAACAATTTTACAAGTTCTTCTACTAGATTCGATCTGCCGACCTTTCATACGCTGCACTTCTCCAACTACGTATTTTCCTATTGCACTAAATCGTGCAAAAGGAAACTACGAGTTATGATAATGCATTCGTATGAAGACCGTACACTTACGTATATATTTAAATAGTCTTTACAAGTGATCACTCACATGTTACTAGCTATACTATATATAAGTGTCGACCTTATTTTAACGTCGACACAAAGTGTACGATGGCTCCTTTACTAGCAATGCTAGTGATAAGGTACCAAAGATGATGTTGTATAACTCTCGAGCGCTTAGAACGAGGTTTTTTTTTCGTTTCCAAATACTGTATTCTCTAAAAAACCTCGTTCTAACCCGCTCGAGAGTTATACAACATCATCTTTGGT